TTCGGATATCAGCATCCTCGGGTGAACGCAGGCTACAGATAAATACTAAGCATTCTCGGTTCACAGTTCCTGCATGTTTCACCCAGTCATCTCCTGCTTCTTTCGTTAACTTTAAGCACTGGTAACGGATATTAAATAGAGATTATTGTTCTCGGAAGATTTGGGACAGCGTCTTGACTGTATCATCAAAACTAAAATCTCGTGAATCCTTCGGAGTAATGAAGTTGCTATAGCGTTCATGTTCCATAGTCCCAAGTTTTCTAAGAAGTATTCTGACTTTTGAAGCATCATCCAGTTTGCAAAGATCAATGGATGTGAGGTTCAGATTGTCGTTCATGTCTGTAGGTCAGTTTAAATGCTTAGTATTTATCTGTAGCCTGCGTTCACCCGAGGATGCTAGTGAACTCGAAGTATGATACTTCAATGGTAGAAAATGGTAACTGTTTCCATAACGCCAATGCAGTCAAGAAAAAAGTTTTTCAAGGTCCCAGCACACATAATTATCGTAATAACAGCGACAAACCATCATCTCCATGCTGGGCATGTGGAGGTTGGCACTATAAGAGGTTCTGCCCGTACAAAGAACATTGTTGTAGTAAGTGCCATCTGAAGGGGCATAAAGAAAACCTCTGCAGGGGAAGAAACTACAAACAACATTCCTTGAAGCCTTACTCAAAGAAATATAGATATAGTGCTCCAACCAACAAAATATTGGTATCACATAACAAAGCACGAAGTTGCCGTCAAAGAAAGTACGTAACCTTGAATATTAATAAACACCGTACTCGCCTTCAGCTTGACACAGCTTCTGATATTACTCTAATCAGCCCAGAAACATGGAAGAACATTGGAAGACCCACAGTGTTCCCAACAACACGACTGGCACACAGTGCATCTGGGGGGAAGTTAAATATTGTTGGAGAAGTGCCATGCACTGTTTCTAAAGGTACTGTAACAACAAATGCAACAGTATATCTTACAAAGAAGCCAGCTCTCGACTTGATGGGGTTGGATCTTATAGAAACACCTAAACTAGCAGACTATTCCATTAACAGTATCTGCAGACGAGTCAGTAATGACAACACCTCAGAGTGGAGCCAGAAAAATGCCATGTTACAAAGACACCAAAACGTGTTTAAAGAAGGATTGGGGGAATGTACGAAAGCCGAAGCAGTTTTAACCCTAAAACCTGCAGCTACTCCCGTTTTTCGACCTAAAAGACCTGCACCATATGCTGCTCTTCCAATAGTTGAACAAGAATTACAACGACTTCAGCAAATGGGTGTTATAGAGCCTGTAGACTTCTCGAATTGGGCTGCACCAATAGTGGTGGTCAAGAAGTCGAATGGAAGTGTCCGTCTATGTGCAGACTACTCCACTGGATTAAATGAAGCTCTAGAGTCCCACCAGTATCCGTTGCCCTTACCGGAAGATCTTTTCGCTAAGCTGAACGGTGGCAGATATTTTGCGAAATCGGACTTATCAGACGCATACCTACAAATCCCTGTATCTGATGGAAGCAAAGATCTCTTAACGATCAACACACAAAGGTCTGTTCCGGTATAACCGATTACCTTTTGGGGTGAAGACAGCGCCCTCTATTTTCCAGCAAATTATGGATACCATGTTACAAGGTATTCCAGGGGCAGCAGCTTACATAGACGACATCATAATTATGGCAGTAGATAAAATGGGCCTTCAGAGGAAACTGGACCAGGTACTAGAACGCATAGCCGATTATGGTTTTCGCCTCCGAGCGGAAAAGTGTGACTTCTATATGCAGCAAGTTCGGTACATTGGGTTCATAATAGATAAAGACGGAAGACGACCAGATCCAGAGAACATTGAAGCAGTGAAAACAACGCCTAGACCCAGGTACATTACTACCCTACGATTATTCTTGGGATTGGTCAGCTACTATGGTACCTTCCTCCCCGATCTCCATCGTCTACGTGCTCCACTAAACAACCTACTACAAAAGAATACAAGATGGAATTGGTCTGCAGAATGCCAAGCGTCTTTCGAGAAAATCGAGCAACTCCTGACTTACAATCTCCTATTGACACGTTATGATCCTTCGCTACCGATAGTCGTCGCCTCAGATGCTTCTAACTATGGTGTGGGCGCAGTTATCTCTCACATTTTTCCTGATGGGTCGGTCTGAAAAAGCCATCTCACACGCTGCCAGATCTTTGACAACGACCGAAAGGAACTATAGTCAGATTGAGAAAGAAGCCCTATCAATCATCTTTGCAGTGAAAAAGTTCCATAAGATGATATATGGTCGACATTTTACCCTAATAACAGACCATAAGCCACTACTTGCAGTCTTTAGGTCAAAGAAAGGTATACCTGTATACACGGCAAATAGACTGCAACGTTGGGGAACTACACTCTTGGGTTATGACTTCAAGATCAAGTACCAGCCCACTACTTATTTTGGACAAGCTGACGCTTTATCTAGACTGATTGGCTCACAAGTAAAACAGGAAGAAGACACTTTGGTGGCAGCAATCGAGACCGAAACAGAAATACATCGAGTATTGGAAGACGCAGTCGATGGTTTACCAGTTACTTTCAAGGCCATCAAAGAAGCCACGGAAAGTGACAAGACTTTAAGAGAAGTAAGTAGTTATCCTCTCACCAAGTGGCCGGACCGTCGTTTTCAAGGAGAAATGCTGCAATATTTTCGCCGACGGGACTCTCTCATGATGGTCGACTTATGTATTATGTTTGGTGACAGAATTATTGTTCCAAAAGTATTACGCTACAAGGTTGTGAGACAATTCCACAGCGGTCATCCTGGTATCAATAAGATGGGAGCGCTGGCTCGAAGCTACGCATACTGGCCTACGATGGATCAAGATATCGAAACCAGATGCCGCAATTGTTCATCGTGCCTACAAGCAGCCAAAAGTCCAAGCAAATGTGAACCGCAACAATGAGAAAAGCCGAATAGTCCCTGGGAGAGGCTGCATGCAGATTTCGCCGGTCCAATATGAGGAAGAATGTATTTAGTCATAGTAGACGCGCTCACAAAATGGCCACAAATCTACGCCATGGTGAATTGCACAACCAGTGAAACAATCAGCAAGTTATCCGACCTGTTTAGCTGCTTTGGAGTTCCGGAGACTTTAGTGACCGATAACGGCTCACAATTCACTGCAGAATCATTCAAGCACTTCTGCAACGTTAATGGGATTGTGCACATACGATCTCCACCGTATCACCCTCAATCAAATGGCCAGGCAGAGCGCTTCGTGGATACATTGAAAAGAGCACTACTGAAAGGGGGAGGCGAAGGGACGACAGGGCAGGTAACCACAAAATATTTAACATCCTACAGATCCACCCCAAACCCGAATGTTCCAGACGGCAAGTCTCCTGCGGAAGTCATGTTCGGAAGGCGTATTCGAACCGTCTTCGATGCCATGTTGCCATCCAAATTAGTGAATGAGCGATCCAAGTATCCGGAACTTCAATGTTGGCGACAAAGTTTACATTAAATCCTACATCGGGAAGAACCGATGGGAGCCGGGAGAAGTTGTGCAAAAACTGGGAAGAGTTCTGTACAGAGGTCGAGGGGCTTTTGGGACATGTATACGACACACAAATCAAATCCTTAAGGACAAAAGAACGGTGCAGACTCGAAGCGACCGGCTGAACTTTTCGTTAGATTTAGTCTTAGATGCACCAATGCCACAAATGCCCAGGAACACTGAAAAGAAGCCTTAGACAAGGAAGACGACAAGAATAATGGGACGCCGTAGCAACCCAGTTGTCAAACTACAAGTAGATCCCAGAAAGAAATCTTATTCAGGGAAGGTGTTGAGTCGGCTTCCGGAAAACTTCAACGGAGCCTCCAGAGGCTCAAGAGGAGCCGCAGAGTTCTGGCCAATCACAGTATGATGGAACATTCTAGAATTCCAACGTGGCGTGCTACTAGTGATCGGTAGCATAATATGTCGTTAACCGATTGGCTGAAAAATGATGTTGATTTAACAGACGCCAACATCTATAAATACCCATGATTTTGTGTACGAAAACGAGCCTTGGGATAAAGTATTTTCCCTCATACTGTGTGTTCTCCCTGGTGTTCAAGTCACTGTGCAATTCCAGACTGCGAGTTACCAGAAATGCTTAGGAAAACGAATATAGCTTTCGATTGTCAAGACTTATCACTTTTGAAGCATCATCCAGTTTGGAAAGATTAATATAAAACAAATCTTCATACTTCTTAAACCACGACTTGAAAGTTACACCTGCTACACCATCAAAATTAAATTCATGGATGGCTTTAGTGACTGAATCAGTCTGTCATACTTGTGATTCACCGGATGTAGGGTTTTGCTGGGACAGGCATAATTTCTGCATCAAGGTTTCCGTGATTCTAATTCGGGACTTTTCAGACCTCTTTTCTTGACGCACCATATAGGCTTCTAATTGCTCCAAGGAAATATTCTTTGTGGTTTTCCCGTCGCCACTAATAAGTCTTGTCGATGGAATGATATATTCGTTTTCCTAAGCATTTCTGGTAACTCGCAGTCTAGAAGTACCCAGCGACTTGAAGACGATGGAGAAGACACAAGTATGATGGAAAATACTTTATCCCAAGGCTCGTTTTCGTACACAAAATCATGGGTATTTATAGATGTTGGCGTCTGTTAAATCAACATCATTTTTCAGCCAATCGGTTAACGACATATTATGCTACCGATCACTAGTAGCACGCCACGTTGGAATTCCAGAATGTTCCATCATACTGTGATTGGCCAGAACTCTGCGGCTCCTCTTGGGCCTCTGGAGGCTCCGTTGAAGTTCTCCGGAAGCCGACTCAACAATAATCAAAAATCTCTTCTACAACATTTCAAATGTAGAAATAAATTATCTCTCTTACTGTTATTTCATAGATTATTTGTTTACATTTGATACAACTTTTGTAAGTTTCTCTGTTTGATTTTCGTCATTTTTGTTTGTTTGTTTGTTTCTTTAAATATTAGGACACTTGCACTTCAGTTAGACGAAAAAATAACTTTAATTAATCGTCTTGAGAATCAACTAAACGAATTAGACTATAAATATTCTACACTGGATAAAGAATCATTGGATTTACGTCAGCAGTTACAACATCAAAAAAAAGAATGTCATGACTATGCTCAAGTTGTACAATCGTTAGAGGTTCAGGTATTAATACTATTTTGAATTTATTCTTATCCAAAAACTATACTTTACCATTTAACTTAAATGTTGTATCTTACAATTGGTTAGGCGCCGAGAGGTGACTGATTTCATGTATGTCAAGTTCTTTTCTTAAGTACTGATCGAATTCTATCCAGTCAAGTTGTAATGTGGTCACTAGTTTATGTGACTCTATATCTATTGTGTTATTTTTAGATATACGATCGTGTTTGAAAGAAGTCAACAAGAAACTGAGGGTTTCTTCAGACCAATGGCGACACCACAACTTGATCGACAGAATTTGATCAGCACTGAAGATAAAGAACTTGATATATATGACGTTGATCACTACTCAGTGGTCAACCAAATATAAACACATCTCCCTCCTACAAGGGATCAGTCGCGGCCCGTGTAGCTTAGCGGTAACGTCTCAAACTGTAATCTTGTGTGACACGAGACCAACTCCGCCAGGGAGCATCGGTTCTCCCTATATTACTGGTATACCTTGCTAATGAGTGTCAAATAGCACGAAACCTTTATCTACAGTTTCTTGTCGACTACCTCCAGTCACCAGCTTACATCTTACTTTTTGTATAATGTATGTTTGTGCCGCACTTTTAAGCAACTAGCTGATGGATATAATAATAAATGGGGATTTCAATTAATGGTCATTTCAATTTGACTGTATTCAGAATGTTCCATTTTGAATAAGGCAATCTTCAATTACAATATTTATAAAATGTTTAGGTAATTCTATTTTTTGTTAAGAGATAAATTATTGACATGAACTAATAACTTTTTATTTTTAAAAGTCAATTAAGACTACTAACCAAAAGAAACGTAAATAAACAAGACATTTCCAAATCCTGGTATTTCTTTATGAGACCATAGGTAAGTAGTTTGGAAATATAACTTATTCATGTAGGATTTAACGTGTATCCACTAAACGGGCTGGTGTTTGATGAATTCTCGGCGCAGACTCAGAAGGCTCGATTGGCTTTCACAAACTTGTGTCACTTGTGGTGTAGAAGAGATATCGGTTTGCTTACCTGTTGAGACAGCTTCGATAAGCACAACGAAGCCTATAGAGACCCCAAAGGAGTCGAAAAGACTCCATCCATTGATTTAAAAGACCTCTGTCTTATGATGCCCTCCCAGTGGTTGAACATGAACCAGTACGGCTTAAGAAAATTGGTGTTACTGAAGCTGTGTACTTCTCGAATTGGGCTGTACCGATGTTGATAGTTAACACATCCAACGGCAGCTTTCTTTTATGTGTGGATTACTCCGCCGGACTAAATAAATCTCTGGAATTTCACAAGTATCCCTTATCTTTACCTGAAGATCTTTTTGTCAAGCTGAACAAAGATATTTTACGAAATAGGATTTATCAGACGCCTATTGACAAATTCCAGTAACTAATGAAAGTTAAGATCTCCTCATGATCAATACACACAAGGATGTGTCCCAATATAACCGACTGCATTTTGAAGTGGAAACGGAACCCCAGCTTACAGGATATTCCAGGAGCCGCAGCTTGTTTAGTTGAGATCATAATCATAGGAGCAGACAAAATAGACTCGTGGAGAAGTGTGACTTTTATATGTAGCAGGAGCGACATCTCGGTTTCATAATAGATAAAAATGGAAGACGACTAGATCCAGAGAATACCCTTTCATTGAAAGCTATGTTCAGACCTACGAATGTCTCCACACTACGATCTTTTTTGGAAGTAGTTAGCCATTATGGACCCTTTTTACCGAACCTTCATCGCTTACTTCTATATTAAATAACATTCTGGCGAAGAAATGAGATTGGTCTACAAATTGTCTAGCTACTTATGAGAAAATTAAGAAACTACTAGTCTCGGATCTGTTAATCAGTCAGTCAGTAACAACGTAGAACTTCGTACGTATGTATGTCAGTTCCAGTTGCCACAACACATTAGCACGGAGATGCAGTTGTCGATTCAAATTCCGTAGTAGTAGAGGTAGTAAGAGTATAAGCAGTAATCGGAAAGATTAGGGGACATGGAGAATCCAGGAGATTAGAATTTGGGAGAACATAAAGAGTAAATGCACTTACGCCATTGCAAACGATTTTGATCCATGACATTCAAGGTCTCTAACCACCGGTTGCTATCGTCTCGCGGATGCCAACCAGGTAGTCTACACCTACCAACATGGCTCAGTCCACTTGTCAGTGACTTCATGGATTTGTGCCATGTTTTGGTCTGGCCTCCCCCAGCTTTCTTCCAACCTACTCCTACACCACAAAACATCGCACGTCGGGGCGGTCGGTGGTTGGGCATACGTAACACGTGTCCCAGCCATCTCAACTGATAAGTCTTACCACTTCATCAATTGATTTACCATCCTTACCTAGTACCTATTTCCTATCAACTATATTACTTGCTCGGTGGTCCCAGGATATATGAGCAATGTTTCAAAGACACCTATGATCGAATACTAGTAACCTACGGATATCCTCTACTCTTACCGGCCATATTTCACTGCCATAAAGTAGAATGGAACGAACTGCTGCGCAGTGAACACGTCCTTTGATTGATAGACGGATATCTCGTCTACGCCATAAATGACGCAAAAGCTAGTCGAGCCTTCTGTATCCGTGCTGAGATTTCGTCACACACCAGACCACAAGGGCTGATGAGACTTCCAAGATAAGTGAAGCGGTCGACACGCTAAATTACTTCACTCCCTATCACTAGTTCGGGTGTTGATGCAACCCAATCTTGAAGCAACATTTTGCATTTCGAGGGGGAGAATCGCATCCCGAACATGCTTGCATTGTTGCTTAGAGTGGTCAGAAGACTCTGCATTTTGTCAGCATCTTTACCAAATAGAACTATGTCATTAGCATATTCTAATTCAACAAGTGAATCTCCTCGTAGAAGTTCAACCCCTGGAAATTTAGATGAGGAAAGTGTTATCTCCAGAAGCACGTCAACGACAAAGTTAAACAAGAATGGAGAGAGTGGACAGCCCTGACAAACACCACTTGAGGTAATGAATCTGTTAATAACGCATTATGGTCCATCCTTACCTATTTACTAGCATCAGATGCTTTGAACTACGGCGTTGGAGCAATTATTTCTCACTTCACATCAGATAGGTCTAAGAAGGGAATATTACACGCGACTAGATCTTTAACTACAGCGGAACGTTACCACAGTCAGATCGAAAAGGAAGCACTGTCAATTATCTTCGCTGTAAAAAAGATTCACACGATGACTTTTGGATTTCAGTTCACTCTCTTAACTGACCATAAATCACTGCTGCCTATATTTGGGTCGAAGAAAGGGATTTCAGTATATACAGCAGACAGACTGCAACGTTGGAGGACCACTCTCTTGGGTTAGGACTTCAAAACGAAGTTCCAACTCACTTCTGGTTTCGGACAAGCTGACGCCTTGTCTAGGCTTATGGGTTCACAAGTGAAACATTAATTAGGCACTCCGGTGGCAGCAATTTAGACGAGATCTGAAGTTCTCTGAGTGTTGGAAGATGCAGTTGATGGTCTACTAGTTATTTTCAAAGCCGTTTAGGAAGCTACGGAAGATGGTGAAATTTAGGAGAAGTTAGGAATTATCTTCTCACGAAATGACCAAATCGTCGTTTTCAAAAAGAACTGCTACAATGTTTTCACCCGTGGGACTAACTTATGATTGTCGATTCACGTATAATGCTCGGTGACAGAATCGTTGTTCCAAAAAGATTGCTCCAAAAGGTTCTGAAACAATTCCACAGCGGCCATCCTGGCATCAATACGATGAGATCGTTGGCTCGAAGCTATGTTTACTGGTCTAAAATGGGTTAAGATATCAAAAGTAGATGACACAAATGTTCATCATGACTACAAGCAGCCAAAAATTTAAATAAATGTAGACCACAACAATGGACAAAGCCTAATAGTACCTGGGAGAAGCTCCATGTAGATTTTCCTGGCTCTGTATGAGGAAAAATGACTTTAATCATAGTGGATGCACTCACAAGGTGGCCACAAATCTATTCTATGGTAAACTGTACAACCAGTAAAACAATCAGCAAGTTATCTGAATTGTTTACCAGTCGCAGAGTTTCAGAGACCTTCGTAACTGACAATGACTCACAATTCACTTCAGAATAATTAAAGCACTTCTGCAGTATTAGTGGTATAACGCATGTACGCTCTTCACCCGATCACCTTCAATCGAACGGACAGGCGGAACACATTGTCGACACATTTAAAAATGCATTACTGAAATGGGGAAGCGAGGGGACAAGTTAAGAAATTCTTAACAACTTACAGAACTATATCCAACTCTACTCTCCCAGACGGAAATTCCTATGCTAAATTTATGTTTGGAAGAAGTATTTGAAAACCTGAGAGCAATTCTATACGTCTCTTTCACTTACCCATCATTTTAATAGTTGAATGTTTGAAGCCTACTTATGCTTACACAATTTCGAAACATACACACAACCACTTATATTTGTTATCAATAACGTTGTAATGTTACAATAAAAATTGAAAATGCTTGAATCAGTTTGTAAAGCCTAGCATAAAGTTTACTCAAAAATTCAGTATGTCTGTAATAGATTTGGTCAATGTCGATTTAATGTATTTTTATCTTCAGTATTATTAATTCGACGATCTTGATCACTCTTGAAGTATGATCACTTATCTAGATGAATTAACGTTATGGTAGATTTAACTTATTATGTGACTGCTTGTAGAAATGTTTAAAAAGCAAGCTACAGAATCCAAGTCCCATTGTGTAAGGACTTGACATAACGCTCTTTACTATCTACTGACTGATTATCGTAAATAATTTGTTATACTGAGGTTTCTACGGTAAAAAAAAGGCATAATCTTTATGTCTCTAACTATGACACAAAATGACACGCACATGTAAATACTGATACTCTCATACTACTACCACTCTGATATTTGTTTAGATAATTTCATCTTTATGTACTGTTGTTATATAACAACTCAAACTGATGTGCGTTGCGCATTTCTGACTGTTATTTTCTATAAACTGTATTCCTAAAGTCTTAAACCATTATATGTTCACAGATTTAAATTCACCAAAGAACATATAAACTTAGTTTCTATGTAAAACTATTGATGTTAGGATGCTTTATACATACAATATTTACTAATTATGTTTGGTATATTTACTTTTATTCAAGTGTGAATTACTCAAAAGAACTACTTCTGATTCTGAGAATAGAATCAAACGTTTACAAATAGAAAATGAAGAAATTCATCATCATTTAACAGATGCACGAAATCTATGTGATAATTTAGAACGTCAAAAAAATTCATTGCAACATCAATATACTATCAGTAGTTTTGAAATGAATCAAACTAAAGCAAAATTAGTTGAAACAGAACGAGAATTAGTGGAACTTCGCAAACAAGTATACTTTATATGTTCATTAATTAAATTACCCAAGTATTTTCCAATTTTTTCATCAATTAAAATGATTCGAATTTTTATTAATAGTCTTATCCAAATGCAATAAATCTATGTACAATTCGTATTTGCATGAGTGATAAACTAAGATTTCTTGATAGAAGTCTGTAGTTGTATACTGTTAGCTGCATTCACCACAATTTGATCCAAGTTAAAGTACCATTGAAAACCACTGATTACTGGATATTTGTTTACTTCTGGTACGAGACCCCTGAACAGTAATCATCCACGATCCAACCATGGATCGGACAAAAGACCTTTAACTTTCACGATGAGTACTTAAACACTAAAGCACATGGTCTTCACCTAAGTCATGACTGGTTAAGTTTAGGTGTTTCAGATATGAGTGGAACTGTTATCCCATATGACTTTAGATAACTGTCACACTATATCGCCGATTGATTGAATTTAGACTTTTACCATTGGTATTCAGTCTTGATTTAATGAAATTATAGAATTAAGCTAGTATTATAAATGTTGAAAATATTTCCAAAGTATTTTAGTTATGAAAGAAGTTCTAATTTTCAAATAATAAATAACTCATGATAGAAGTAGTATAGATTTTAGTATCCGTTCACGTTCGATATTCAATTAGCTAAAATTAATCTATTTTCAAGCTCATCACTCAAGTTGTAAACGATGATGCAAATCGGCTTCCAAGAAATTGAGGTTTTGCCAATCATCCATCATTTATATAAAAGTGTAAATGTTTTGTAAAACCTGTATTCTAATAGAGAGTGCAGTTGATGGATTGTAACGCATATATTGTAGAACTGTCTAACGCTGTTATCTCCTTTTATTAAACTTATATATATGTTCATTTGACAGCTCTTAAATAGGAAAACATAACCATTATTAACATTTCAACAGTGTAAATAATCATTTAGAAGAATGAATTCACATGTACACCTTGATGGAAATGGACTGTATTAAAATCATCACTAATGAATAATTTCAAATTCTCCATCGTAGCTACAAAATCATAGTAGTACATTTCAATTTTGTTTGTTTATTTCATCTGAACGCTTTACCTTACAATATTCAATATATCTTATCGGCTTCATTATGTTATATATTACAAATAGTACATCTATGAGGAGGTTTATTTGACCTTTTTGTAGATGAAATCTACATATTTTCTTCAGATAAAATTCATATTGTTTATCTTAACTTGGTTTCTGTTTCGAATGATATCCTCTGTTTTTTTTTAACAATTAAAATTGATATTGTTGCATAAAACGTACGTTCCCAGAACGTTTTATAGATGTAATCGCATTGTCTATTTCTTCTAGGTTGATCGAGAACGTGAAGCTATGAAAAGCTTTGAGTTTGTTTTAGGATCAAGTCGTGAAGCTGAACATACAGCCCACCTTGAACTGAAAGTAAGTTAATTATATATATATATATATATATATATATATATATATATATATATATATATATATTACACTGATTATTTTATTCAATTATCTTACTCATTAAAATATCAGCAGTACATACGTATTACAATCAAGAAAACGTTTTATGTGTTAGACTAATTTTTACAAGCGACATTATAATATTTTATCCTCGCTCACTAATCACAAGGTGATGAGTGTTAAATTATTTATCTTTTTCGTCTTTGTTATATTTTGTTCAGTCTTTGTTTCATTTTTTATCACAATTCAGGAATGCCATGCTGAATTGTCTTCTTTACGTGAACGTTTAGCTACAACAGAAGCAAAACTTTTAGACTCTGAATCTGAAGCTAAAACATTACAGAGACAATTACTATCACTTCAAGAAACATCTCAAAATCATCGTTCTCCTTCAATAAAATGTCAAAAGTTTCTACATTCATCATCAGATACATATGATCAAAAACATCTAGGAAGTGATATATTTAATGGTAGTATGAGTCCAAACGTTGATCCACTGCCTAGTCCTACATCATCTATTGAATTACCTACTGATTACTCAACAAAGGGAGCAATATCTTCACCGGTTCCATGCCTAACGTACGTTTTTGTCCATTTATGAATATATTTATAATAAAACATTTCTGGAATGTTTCTGAGTAAGTGGTGCTACTACTCTAAAATGATAAAAGGTTTTGTCAGATAATTAGGGGTATTTGCATCTAGGTTTCATTTTAGTTTATACTTGTCAATAAGCCATACCTTCGATCTTAAGGGAACCGATAATTTTTTTATGGGATTCCAACCCGTATCACCTAGCTTCATAGTTTGAGAATTTAGCAATAAGTTATTCGGTCCATGAATAACCTGTAAAACTTACATACTGACAGTGGATTGATTACCCACTGTTGACCAAATGTCATCTTAGTCTAGTCAACGCTAAGTGTTGATCTAATTCTATCGAAAAATTTGCAATGTTGTGACATCGGATATATCATGTTTTGATGATAAGCACTTAGAAGGAGAAAACTGGACACTGCGAAAACTTAGTTTTCGTGTTAGTTATCACTCATCAAAAATGTGTATCAAAGATTATGAACACAAGAATATTTACTGTTAGTATCCTTAAGATATGTTACTTTATGACTGTGTACTGATAATCTGTTGAGTAGTGTAATATGTTTATCCATATTCTTCTTTTAGATATGTTATCTTACTCATAAAAGCATACTTGGTCATATCAGACTACTTATCTCTCCTCAACTTATTTAAGTCGTAGGTAACTAATATATACAAGAAATTTCAGAGTATTACTGACTAATATTTGAAACGTTTTATTGTCGTGTCAGTAAAAAACAAACAAACAGACTCTTGGATTTTACTGAGACCTGTGAGTTCATGCCGTAATTTACAGGAAAGCAGTTTTATGATATCTCTAGCCTAGCTCTCTCTATAATCAGATTACTTACCAGTTCCCGTATTTGCGAATCGATGCATCGACCAATTAAACAACAATCAGAACTTTAAAGCTTCGGCTACCAAAAATGCCACTCAAAATCTTTGGAAGAAAAATGTGTTATTTTAAAATTTTCATTTGTTCTATCTCCCATACATTTTAGCCTAGTTTATTACTCACGTGTACTCTTGAACGTGTCTTATACAATGTGTCTATTCACTTAGTGTATTTACTACTGAGTCACCTTGTTATTCTCTGAGTCAGTGTTTTGCCAAACCATAATGGTTTATGCATTCGCGTTGTATCTTTCATTGCTTATCTGTTGTTCAAAAGATACCATTGTAGTAGTGGGTTGACATTAATTGCACGGCGGTTGTGATTGCCCACTACCCATTTTTCTTTTCGACGAAATCATTTACTCAAGCCTTTACATTTAATAAACCTTAAAAAAGTTTTACTAATACGTATGGGATTATCACATTATTATTATTATTATTATTATTATTATTATTATTGGTCTCAAATGGTTATATAGCTTAATCACTAAGGCTTGGTTCTAATTCATCATTTGACCTTTCCCATGGAAATATTTTTGTTGTACCTGTAAAGTGATCCTAGTACATAATTTCCGGCTTACTGTACAGCAAATCAACGTTAATAATAAATTAAACTTGTTCTTACTGATTTTCAGTAAACACTTTGAGGTAAAAAAAACTTGTTGTATACAAGATAAGAATTATCAAAGGGAACAGTTAAGCGACTTCACTGAGAAGGAGATTAAAAAATTTGTTTGATGTCATTTTTTAACGAACTGAAACAAAAGAATTTAAATCAAATTGTGGATGGCCCTTAAAGAGGGCCTTTACTCGGTCTCTTAACAGTTTAGAATTTTCTGGACAATCGCAAGACTGTGATTTCGTACATGGGACAGTAGAATCTATGGAATTGTGGTAGTGGGTCGTAAGCACAAAACAAATGAAACGTTGCATTGTAGCAACGAAAAATCCAAGCGCTTCCATCAGAAATTTCACTTGGCAGCTGAGCGAGATTGCAGATATCACACAGTCTGTCGTCGTGAGCATGTTCGTCAGTGTCGTTTTCTTGGTCACTGAATTCTGAGTTTATAGAAACAATTTCTTCTTCGACGTGTTTGTGGCTCCCGACCGATAATTGTATTGTTGAGACATTCAGCTGTGTATCTCTGAACTCACAATTCTACCCAATGTACAATATACATTATATTCAAGAATATGTTATCTATTTTCATGACAACGTGAGAAACCGCAGAGCTTGTACCTTGTACGTTACTATCGTCCATAATTTGAAGAGAAGGTGCTCAGTCGACAACTACTTACATTTCGTATTAATTTTAGGAAATAAATAACCAATTATAACGAATTTAAAACGCCATTTAATTGAACGAAATGGAATGAGAAAAACTGAAAAGTGGAATGAAAATTTTTCACAAAATGGGGTGAAAAAAAAATTAAATAAAAAGTAGATACAAAAACCACCGTTTATTTAATCATATTCTTCATAGTGAATGTGAACAAAAACGCAGATAACCAAATGTATTTAAATATAAAATTACAGAATATCATAGTAAAATCTGAGAACCATACAGTAAATACTTCATTTGCAAAATTTCAATCAACTATCTCAGATTTTGCTGTTCCTTCGTTTCCACACTAATCACTTTGTTTTCATTCTCTTTTAATCCATCTTCTTAACCTTCTGCCTCCAGGCATTTCACTTTCTATTGATGATACATACTACTTATATCTATCGACATGAATAATACACACCACATCATGCCTGAAATATACGTGTCTTAAAAACACTTCTTATTTGACCTTTATTATCTACGTTATATCGATATGATTTGTCAACAGAATGTATGCTACAATTAAATGAGATCTGTATTTCATTATAATTATTATAGATCATAAAGCAGTTAGATAGAAGGCACCAGTTAACGTGAGCGTCATCATATAAATAATGGTACTCCACTTTAATGATTTATAATTTATTACTTGTTACGCGTACTTTTAATTTTCTTTAAATTCAACTATAAATACTTGATTTACCGGAGAGAAAAAAAGATTTTCTTAGTATATATTGAAATCTATTTGATCTTGTTTCGGATCAATTTGTACATTAGTGTTTTTTAATAGGTTCTGGCAAGTAAATAATAACATAAAGCTCTTGTCATAGTATTTCGTATTATAATAAATGTACAATGGAATAAATTTAAATAATCAAAAAATACACTTGGATTACTGGCAGTGAAAAAGAGTCTATCTATATATAACGCATAACTTTATATCTACATATCACATATTTTTAAAATTTATTTTAAAACATCAATATTGGTATCAGGAGGCCCCAAATACAAATGCGCCACAGAGATCTCATTTGATATGTGTGAAGGCTGTGATACTGCCCGGGTGCCCATACTAAAGCAGGCCACATAGATGTACGGAAGTTTGAACAAATATTAAGATTACACAATTGATAAGATGTCTGATTTCTACTGAATGACAATGTGTTTTGTACATTATTTCTGTACTTATTGTTTAGGAAACTCATTTACATCAGAATAAGTCAGTGTTAAAAAATTTGAACTGATCTAGGAGTTCAAAAATGGTTATTACTTTTATTTTCTTTCACAGGTTCACGTCAGAATTTAACGACACAAGACCTAATGTCATATTATCCGGTTCACATCATCCATCAGAAGTAACATCGTCTGATTCTTCTATGTGCGTCTCTATAGCTAATCACACAGGCAACTATTTTCATAAACTGACTGAAAATGATCCTGTGAACGAATTGGTAACTAATGTATTCAACCCATTCTCAACCTGTAAAGATTCTGTTTCTATGTCTGATTTTAATTTTTCTCAAGGTGATGACAGTGGAAGACCTGTTTCTGAAAACACAGTATCAAATGAACCATAACACAGCTGTAGCTAAATGAGGAACTTAACTGCTCCCATGCTAAGATATTTATTCACGTTGTTTGTAACATTATATTTTGTCGATGAAGTATTTTTATATTTTCCGGTGAGTCCACACAGCATAATGTATTACAACGCTATTGTTAATAAATTACTTAGTTTACATTTTTACACAATTTATACAGAATATAAACATCTCAAAAAATGCCGTTGTTTCATGCGTCCATAGTTATGCGGGATATCACAGTAGATAGTTCCTATAGTTTCTGAACATTTTATTTGTGAACAACATTTAGACCTAACCGCAATATAGCACTTACAATGGATTAGCTGATGAAAAGCTCGCTTAATAGGATTGGGCTTTTGTAACCAACAAATGATACCAGAAATAAAATGTCTATAACATGAGACGTGAGTTACAAAAGATTTCAGTAGGAGTGCCTGGGAATATGTCTATATGGCCACAAAAACAGATAAAATCTGAGGCCTAGGTCGGATAAAAATATACGCGCTATCACACGTAATAACACATGGAAAAAAGAGAACTGAAGTATTGATACAAATACCACTGAGTTTCGAGCAGATGTTAGAAGGCGCATAATTCAACACTACGTCATTAGCATTCGAAATAAAGCAAGTCCACACAACTATGAGGAGATAAGGGTCAACTGGACTTATAAGGGGAAAATGCTGGACCAACAACCTTGACATATTTGATATGATATGATTAGCTCTTAGTTGAAAAGGTCCGTATCAGCATTAATATAAAGCACTAATCATGAGACAGTCTCCATTGATGTGGTCATTAACAAGGCACTTAATAAGAACGAGGATGCTCCTTACCTTAGCTCCAACCTGACAAACTACACGGCCACAAGGAAGTATTTTAGTTTGCCACATGGAAACCAGAATGGTAAAGGTCAACAATGAACGACTGTCACGAAACAGCAAGGGATACTGCTCAAGAATTTATCATGTACGAAATACCCCAAGCTAGAGACGCGCCTTGAAAATAAAATCCAGGGTTAAGCGAGGGACATAATATGCCACACGTCGGAAAAAGAACATAATATAAGCAGAAAAACTGAAGGATCCTGATCGCAGCCCTAACTTTGCTCTGAGTAACAGACTGAATGCCAAAGTCGAAAACGATAGGAAATATTTCAAAGCAAAGCCAGTAACCAAAAATGCAAGGTTACTCAAAATATCCATAAATTCATGATCAAACGGACATCTACAAACAGAAAGGTCTGTATTCCAAAAAAGCCCAACAGTAAAGGCAATACGGACCTAGAAATGGCATAAGTCTTTATTAAAAGCTTCGATGATCAGGCAAGTCAGAAACACATAAGCTCAGAATACTCTTCGACATTTATACGAGCCGATAGAGTAGTAAAGATAGATGTGATTCTTAGTTTGGTATCAAGTTAGATTAAATTCTTTGAGCCTAGAGAAGTGACAGGGATATCACAACATCAATTCTGAAAAAGTGCGTAAAGGCTCCACTTTGATGTGCTCACTTGCTAGGGTTGCGTCAGAGAGCGTGGAGATGATGTTGTGGCAATGTGTTCATGTTGGTGTGATTTGGTGTACTTAATGTCATGTGATGTTTTCAGATCACCACGGAAATCCAGACCCGAATATCTCTACAGGGTAGGATCTCAGGCTTATAACCACAGATAGGCTAGACACCATCTCAAACTACATGTAGTCACGTATTTAGTATTGTAAAATATACATAGTCTGTTCACACTCCCGTACAGATCCTAGAGTATGTGATGGTTAATTAGGGGTCAGTATGTATTATATATAAATAAGCACACTTGTTCTAGGGCAGTGGGGTTTCTAAAACCAACAGTCATGTCTTAGCGAGCAGGAGGTTGGTTTATTGCAGTATGAAGGATCCCAGAAATTAGAGTACAACGGAGCACAAAAGTTAAAAGAGGCCCAGCAACATTGTGGACTTCAAGGTAGAACTGTGTGTACGTTTCACACTGTGTTAAGATTAGATATGGTGTGGTTGCGTCTAGTTGTCGATGCATAAAGCCGAGAGTTTCGTTTTTCTTGACTGCATCCTCCATATAGTTTGAGCTGGTGTCCAGCCTACTTGTGGTTATAAACCTGAGATCCCATTCTATAGAGATATTCGGGAGTGGATTTCCACAAAAAGTTTATGCTTTGTGTCGAATGCGGCAGTGTTCATGACACGTTATTTAATCCGCTTAGGTTGAACTCAATGTCTGCTGTCCATTATTCAATTTTTGTGGGGTTGTTGTGACACATCTGATGTTGAGACATTACAAACTTCCTGCACTCTATTTCTGAGCCAATACCTTTCTTGACCCAGTCGCTGTTGTCTATTAAAATTCAACAGAAAGCAGATGCTGTGCTTTCGAAATTTGTCCACCATTTGCACATATGAAATAACTTGATCTATATTGGACTACTTTACCGGACATTCGTTAGGTAGAAGCGTTGGTGCAATATATAGTAGAAATGAAGATAATGAAATCAGGCTCAAACTTGACAACCTACATCATTACCCAGAATCTCATATTAGTGATATCAAGGATTATGAAAAATTGCACTCGGGTGAATGGTGTACCCAAACATACTACTTATACAAAACAACGTAAAATCTGCAAGAAGTACACTTATGAGAACAATAAAATTCTAAGAAATAGTTTGATCCTAAACCGTCCAGCCTTAAATGGCCATGCTTTTCAAAATGATTAGGCCTTCCTGGTGGAAACTATACAAATCTTAATTTCTATTATCCTTACCAACAATTGCAAACTCTCCTTCCCTTAACGATCAACTTCATTTCCATGCTTATCTTCGTGGATTTGGCTGTAATGTTTGACTGATAGCTCTCATCTAGGACATTTTTGCAAAATGTTCACTAACATCCATTGTAAATAAAGGCCTGAGAGATAATATTCAGGAATTATTTACGCTTTAATCTGTGTTCTAAGTCACCACTGGCTCTGAATACAATTGATAACTACTGTTGCCTTACCGCTTTAGGTTATTTCACGTTAAATTTGACAATTCGTCCCTCGGACATAGTCACAAAACATACACACCACAGATGTTAGATAGTAACTCGAATTGTGAAAGAAGCTGGCTAATCGTCAGTGGTCACTTATATGATACATTCGTTGTTCTATAATAGATCTATACTATGTTAGTGGTTTTAATGTTAGAATATACTTCATACCAAATCCATCAACGTTTCATAAAGGTTTTAATGGAACCTTTGTTATTATTCATCGTAATCTTGAAATTAATTTGAAACAATAAACCTCTTTAACAAATAAGGAAAGTGTAACAAGAAAGCAGGGTTCGTCTGTGTTATGCTGCGTCAGTGAAGTACAATCCTGACGGTTATATAACACATCGTCTTTTCAGGATAATTATTATAAAAATTAAGATTCCGATTAGACTCAGAGAGAAAACAGCGATGATAAGTTGTTGGATAACATATCTAAACACCCTAGATATTAGTTTAATATTGGTATTAAAAGATAGGGTGAACGTAATCACGTGTCTTTAAACATCAAGATGTAGTATAAATTCTAGCATATTGATTGAGTTGTTACGTTTGACCGAAACATAAAACAACCTCTCCTGCGCTGGTAATTTGCCAGGCTCAACTCAGTGTGTCAAACTGATGCTGTGTAGTGCGTAACTTATTCAGCCTTCAAGACTTCGAATTCAAGTGGTTCGTTGACCTGGCCTAGTATATAATATGTAAAGCCTAAACAAGAAAGATTAGTGGGGTAAATATGTTAGACAGAGATATCTACAGAACACTAAAGGGCTGTCGTATGTGTTAATCTAGTGTCCATGTCTCAAGCTAAGATGATTCCTTGTGGCCGTGTAGTTTGTCAGGTTGGAGCTAAGGTAAGGAGCATCCTCGTTCTTATTAAGTGCCTTGTTAATGACCACATCAATGGAGACTGTCTCATGATTAGTGCTTTATATTAATGCTGATACGAACCTTTTCAACTAAAAGTTAATCATATTATATCAAATAGTTCGTGTTTTTTCACTACAATGCGATTACGACTGTGTTGTTAGAATATCGTCGCAATGTTCTTTAATTCTCCAGACGGTCAGAAACGCATTCGCCCTTCTCACTGCCAGTTGCTGCATATGGAATGCTCTCCCTGAATTCGTGGTCGCAACACCGTCAGTGGATACCTTCAAGTTGATACTGGACACACATATATTCACCCACGGATTTTCATCTTCCACTTTGACCATCTGTGTCTGATTCATGCCTCATGATTTGCTTGGTGTCTTTTGTTGCCTCATACCACTGACTAATTTCAGTTTTGCTCATTATCATCTGCGTTTCTCTCTCGTTCTTACATTTCTGTTATCCCACAATTTATGCATTACCAAGTAACTGACTTATTTTTATATTCATTTCTTGAAATAATAGGTTTTTTAGCAATAGAATTATCATTTCGTTATTTTCATATTGCAATCAACTTTTTCACACAAGCAAGTGAAAAACATATTGGGCATCGGATTTCTGAGGAAAGTATATTGTTTAGTGAGCAGTTGGTACGTAAGCCCGCTCATTATGGAACTGAAGGTTGTATCAATGGCAACGGGTTAGGGTAGGCACAACCTTTGATTTAGAATTGTTGATTGACTGATTGACTGGAATAATATCTTTCATTGAGCAGTTGCAGTTTATCGGAAGCCAATTGAGCTGAGAATTTATAAATATCTTTGGGAGTTTACCTCAACGGAGATTCCATCCGGCTGGTCGAGTTGTTCATTTCATTTTTAGTGAACCTCTAAAACAAGCATTTATATCTCAGTGTGCCTAGATCAACGTTAATAGTGTCAAACGTAAAGTTTTAACCTGGAACTGAAGCTGAAGTCTGGTACCATAGAACAAAAACTATGTTTGATATCAGTGCTGAGATAAACAGTCAGCTGAACCACAAATCCAACCCACCTAGAAAATAGCTTTCAGGCAAATCTTTTTTTGTTTATGGGATTCAGAATGTCGACAATGCTCAATGAATTTTCCTAGGCACCCTAGAGTGTCTACCACAAAGATAGCTCGTTTTTAGAGAATGGTTAAAAGAGCTAAAACTCTCAGTATTGATATTCTACCATCAAAAATTAAATGTTCAGTTTACTTAAATGAGTTCAGTATTCAGACTTGTTGAACATCTTGTTTTGTTAAAAAAAGTTTCATTATTCTAGGCAAAGTGGAGGAGAGAAGTCAGCTGCTTTCATTGGACGTTTTCATGTACAGGAAACATCTGGAAATTTCAATGGTGTATAATGCTTTAAAGAACGGTAGTTCTGGGCCACCTTCAGAAATAATTGGAGGTGTGAGCTGGTAAGGTGGTTGTCTATGGCCTTGTGGAAATTCTTCATAATAACAATAGGTAGAGTTTTATATTTTTGTTACGAACTACACTATTCGAGACAACTAGTAATTCCACAGTCTATAGTCTGTGGTGTCTTTGGCATAGTTCATAAAAACTTGGGAAAAGGAGGCCAAATAAAATGTTGGAGGCAGTCAAATGTAAATATTGGTGACCAAAACAAAGGGAAATCATACAGAATTGTGTCAGAGCTTGAAAAATTTAACAAATGACCAAGTGCTCAAAAGACAACCCGCACACACCCTCACCATTTGTGAAATCAGGTTACCTCGACAATATAGTGGGAATCGATATTATTGGGACATTACGAGAAACCAACAGGAAAAACAATAACATCCTGATTATGGTTAATCACTTTACGAATTAATATGAGACAATTCCCCTAAGTAGTATAGATGCTCAAACTGTCTACCGGACATACACCTAATTTGTTATAGATAAAAAGAGATGTGAGGCCTCCAGCTAAATTGTCGACAAAACTAATGCATCAAAAATCTTTATTGGAGTGAGACACTGTCGTGAAGCTTTGAGGGGATGTTTCGAAGTGTCATGATATGGCTTGCGTACAATTAGGTGTGACGCAAAAGCATCAGAAAAAGTACTACAATAAGAAGACTTATGGAATAATCTTAAAACCAGGAGAAAAAGTATGTTTAAAACCAGACGAATCACAGGCGGGGACACTTACTAAACTACATAATGAATAGGTCCTTATGAAGTAACTAGAATCTTAACAAAATCTACGTGTGACATCAAAGACATCAAAGGCGACTCTTGGTACCTATGGTCGTTCATTATGATTGCCTAAAACCGGCGTATGACTACATAGAATATATGATTAACCAAAGTTTGCACCTAAGTTAATTTTTAAAAAGTGATTTACGAATACGTTCTGTTTAATTTGTTACAGATCCCAAAGTGAGGGAGGAAAATACTTAGTATCCTGGTGTTATTTTATATTACGTTTTGTGTCCCGAACTGTTGCACAGTCCGGCATTCCTGTCAAATTACTGATTCTGTGTTCCTATTGAAATATTATCGTACTCTTTTTGGATTGTCGTTTCTTTTCCTACTTCGAAAAAGACTTTGGAAGGAAAACCAATTTCTTTTGTGGAGATTATTGAAAGCCATCGAGGACAAAGTTTAAAGGAGTCAGAAGCAGTGTAATATTAACAACACGGTAATATAAAAACATCTGACCTAATATTATTGATTGATTAGTTGTTTCTGTATCTTTAATTGAGAATTTGCAGTCAGTTGGAAGCTAAATGAACATAGGATCTCGTCGGGGGGCTTACTCCAACGGCAATCCCAGCCAACCGATGGAGCTGCTCATTATCAGGCTTTGGCTATTTCAAACCAGCCTTCATTTTATTTCTCGCTTACATCAAGTAGCTTACCTGGTCATAGACTCTTGATCACTTTAATATCAGTAGCTTATTTATTTAACCTGATTTCCATACTAACTACCTGGGTTTTCAGTTTGTTAGGAAAAGAATCGTTTCTTTGCAATAAAGCACAGTTACTTATTTTAGAGGATAATACTAGGGCTAACCTATACAGTTATTTCTCCTTAAAGTAATTTAGTTATAGGAGCTACATCGTCCGCCCAAGGTGTCTGACAACCCCAGAGATATCTCTGGAGTTCATAATATTGTGATCCAGCAGATTAAAAGCTAAAACTTTGAGAAGAGTTTTGACGAAGTCTAATTTTATAGTTCCGGCCAAACGCATCTGTTTATTTCAGAAAGCGTGTAGATAAAGACCGAGATGACGTTTTAGTTGAATACAAAAAGTACTGCAATATGCACAATTCGAATTGGTCTACAAACACTAATTGTAGACACATCATCGGTTTGTGTTAATTACGATGAAATTTATTTGTTACCAGCTGTATGATCTCTCACGTACGACCTGAGCATCGCATGCGCTTAGGTCTACGTGTAAATAGTTTTTGTCGTTCTAAACCAGGAAAATAGGCCTCATTGATTAAAACTCCAGGTTCATAGTATTATCTAAAGCTTAGTTTTTCATTCAGATTTTATTTGCAGTTGTAGTGACTCTCCATTCGGCTGTTTATGTAGTGGAATCTAGTTTTTTGAGGTTTACATGGTACAGGCGCAGCGATAATTTTAAACGTGAAATTTCTTGAATTGATTTGAATATTCTTTATGCTGTCCACTTAAACTTATGTGATGAAAACCTTAGAAAAACTAGCAAATGCTTTTTCAGAAGGAGGTTTTGTAGAGATTTTAGTAATTTAATAGTTAAATTCATGAGTCAATTGAAGCTAGAGGACCATGGAAAACCTGGAAGCACTGGAAGGCCGTTTCGTCATAGTATGGTACTCCCCCGAAAGGTCCTGGATTCGAATCCTGCGGGCGGGATCGTGGATGCGTACCGATGGGGAGCCCCATATTAGGACGAAACGGCTGCCAGTGCTCCCAGGTTTTCCATGGTGGTCTAGCTTTAACTGACTCATGAATTCAACTATTAAAATACTTTTTCGTTTATTGCCCTGGCATTTCAGTGAATTGATTCTAGTTCTAGCAAAATGAAAATTTAGTCCTTTTAAAATCTCCCAAGTATTTTGTACAAGGAAAAGGTACATATCCAGTATTTTCAGTAAACAACTCCACTCCCGACTAGAATATTTAGTTCAAATATCAAGACTTTTACATAACACCCATAAGTATCTAGATTGATCTGATAATTAATATATTTCACATACTACATGGTAAACATATCACAATATGTTTGTGATTACCTTTCCCGACTTCTGTTATACGTACTGATAAAGTTTCTGAATCAATAGAAAGAATTAGCTTTAAATGTCTTAAACCAGGCTATCCTCTGGTAAGATGACAATGACTTCTTACAATCAATCTGCTTTTCGTCATTCGCTTAAGTGAGCTATCTACTTGGACCACTATTTTCGCAAACCTAGTATTAGATGTACCTGTTATGACAAAAAAGTTAGTGATTCAATTATATCACAAGTAATATAGGCTCCATAATCTTTTATTTTCGGTTTGCTTGTGTACTAAGTGTTAAGAGCCCAGTGTAGATAAAAATTTCCGTAGGGTATCAATCACCAAACATCTTAGTTAAGTATTTCTGTATATTAGTTGAATAAATACATCACTTTCCTCTTTTCTAGATTCACTCGAACTTTTTTTGTGCTAACGACTAGCTCTGCTTCTCAATGGTCACTAGTCGACTGTATTTTGTATTGTTTGTTTGCATTTCGAGTGCATTTACTTCTGGTAAGCAAATTTCTGTTTTACAGTTGTTTTTAACTACAGAATAACTGGTTTTAAATTTAACCGAAAAAAGCAGCAACAATCATTAAAACACATTTTGGTGTGGCAATTACAAACAAAATATTACTAGTACTGAATACTTAATCGGAGAGACTATAATTTATGGACGAACCAATCAGATTTAGGATAACAGGTATTGGATTTTGGCGCGAAATTCATCCACCCATTCGTCTAAATAGCGTCTTAGCATTTTAACTGATGTCAGTTCGTGATGAAAACCATAAATTTAAATCCTAACCTTTACTATCAACTGTAAATCACTATCTTTATTCCTCAAACTGCTTTATAGCCTTCTTTCAACCTTATTAAGTAGGTAGACACTCTCAAGATCACGTTGGCGTCACTCAAAGGTCGTCCATAAATTATAGTCCCATCACTTAATCCTTCAAAACAATAAGTTGTCTATTTTCCTTGACTACATTTGGTTATACATGCGGAACTGTGCTTTTGACAGAATTAGTATATACAATAACCCAGCAATTTAAAAAATACCAGAAAACAACTAGTTCTATCCTAAAACATATATTTTCCCATATTTATTCACTTGCTTTTGTTAGAGAAAATTTCATTATTCCGATGAAGAATCTATACTAATTGAAGAGGCTGAGACTTGTTAAATGTGGGCGACCACTTCCTACGTCGACACGTAATGTTTTCTGATGTATTAATAGTTTCCCAAGGAACTTAGAGGCTTACAAACCAAAATGTGGTATTCACGCATGAAGTTATATACAATTAATGTGAGCCATGCTTTTCTGGTTACAGTTCTCATGAGTATCACGGCCAGTGCTTGAAGACTGATTAACATGATTCAGAATCGGTCGCGATAGCATAAATGCATTCACTCTTTACTTTCCTTTAAATGTAAAGTTTCAAACTATTTTATATCTTTTATTCCGTGACTTCATCGATTTTCCTTCAATCAAATTGTCAGTGCCTAATTTTTTATCACTAAAACTACTGCTTCTATCGCTTGTTTATTCATCTTGATAATTTAATCTTTCTGTTTTAACGTGATGTGGTGATTTGAACAGATGGATATATGTAACGGGTTCTATTTTGTTTATGAGTGAGTGACCGACTTTCCAACCAGGATATTTTTACAACACCTCAAATATTATACATTTATTCTGAGTATTCAGCTAACAGAGTATGTTCAAAAATTTATAGAATATGTGACCGTTTCTTTGAAAGATGTCTTCAAGAATCCCATTATTTAATAATTTGTTATTATATACGTGTTTTAACTTGTAATTCAAGCACCAACTGCTTATAATCCTAAAAAAAACGTTTTGACATGTTCAATATACAAATGATTTAACATTAATTAATATAACTTGAAAATAGATTATTTCCATACATAGTGTTATAACTGTTTTGATTGTATCAATCTTATTTATGTAGGATTAACATTTGGATTTTCATCAGCAACTACACTTCAAATTTATTTCGACCCTACTTGGATAGCAGTTTTTGCTGGTTTATTAAATGCAGGTGGAATAATTGGATCTTTGTGGTCAACGTGGCTTATTCGTCATTATGGACATTGTCTTACATTATTGCTTTCTTATGGTCTATCTGTCATAGGATGGGTGTTACTGTATTTTTCATCGTCAGCTGTCTACGAACGATATTCACCAACTGTTCAATTAGTATTAGGACGTCTAATAACTGGTTTAGGATGTGGATTAACTTTAACTACTAATATAATTTATATCTATGAGATAATTCCATCGTCATGGAAAGTATTGATGGGATCATTGTTTCAAGTTGGTATAACATGCGGAATTGTTGCTGATTATGCACTTGCAATTTTTTTAAACTGGGATACTATTTCTTTGGTTTTCGCTCTGGTTATTTCATTTGTTGCCGTTTTAACTTATATGTTACCCGAATCTTCTGAATGGTGCGTTAAAATGGGTAATTTGCAATCAGCTGAAGCATCTCATTACTGGTTGCATGGAAACGTAAGTGACTGTTAAGTCTACAAATTTGTTTAAAATAAATAATGTTCTAAAAATATTATAATTACAGTGTAATGAATAAAGTTTGATTGTATACATCTCATAATTGACAGTATTACACTTTTGTGCAACTGTTTACTTGGTTTTTTGGCGTCTAATAAGTAAACCATAATGGACAAATATTTTTGAGATGCAACTATAACCATGAAATTATTGATCGAATAATGACTTCATTGTTGAGTATCTAGTTTTCTTCGAGCATCTCGTGTTGAGATAGAGATCATCTAATGTTATCGATGAATGAAAACCTAACCATTACAATAGTCCTTGTCTCTATACCTATGCAATCCAAAGCGTATAGTCGAAAAAACGTTTGCATTATTAACTTATTCCCGGGTACCTGGGTATGAGTGGCGCTCTAAGTGTAAGGGGGCCAGTAATACTCACCCAGCTGCTCAAAATGGAATAGTTGGTGATGAGTACAGTCAGCCTATAACAACGTCTGAAACTGTTTACTGGATTGTTTTCTTTATTCTCTCTCTCTCTCTGTAAAAGTGTTAGTTTCCTTTAAGGGTCCACTATTTTCTGTAATTTCAACTTTATCTATCATAAAAGTTATTTGCGCAAACACTGGCGTAAAACTGAATAAAGCTAAAGAGAATCATATGTAATTGAATCTGTGAATGTAGTTACCAAAGTATATTTCGAAAAATCTTTCAAAGTTAACATATATATATATATATAATCTTAATTATATTTATGAGCATAGTTTAGCATTTAATGTTGTTGCTATTTTAGTTATACACATTTAAAATGGTTTAGTTAATGTTTGAAATATCACGGAAGTTCATAGTTAATGCCAAAAATAAGAAGAAAAAACTGATGTTATTGTCAATTTTTTTTTGTATTTCAATTTAGGAGATACCTTTTAAACAAAATGGGAATAATTTAATGATCAATGGAAATGTTCCTCATGATATATCAGATTTTAGCACAAAGTCATACACTGGTTCTTTTCATGCATTGAATGATTCAAAGTCTAAGCTTCGTACGATTTTTATATTAATAACATTTCAACAATTAACAGGGATGAATGCTATAATCTACTTTGCTGAATCGGTTTGCCTATTTGGTGGGCTAGTATCATATGAATGTGGATTCAACCTGGGATTGTGTCTATTTATTTCTAGTATTGTATCAGTATTTGTGGTTAGAAAATTCTCCTGGAAAAAGCTACTACTAGTTGGTGCTGTAATTCTGGCTTTATCCCATCTATGGTTCTCACTAACGGTATCAGTGAGTGACCAGTCTATAGAATATAATGTCGTTCTTTTTTATTCATTATTTATGATCTTTAAGAAATCTTTGTCATAGAGTAACAGTGGTACTGTCAAATTAATCAAGTTTTTAGTTAACGAAGTGGATCTAGTTAAATATCGTCAGAATTCAGTCCTTTCATTTTTTTCTGATATCCATGATATTATTGCGTAAACGAGTTTTCCTATTATGAACTAAGGTAGATAGTGGCTAACAGCAGAATATAAGATGTGCGATTCGTTCTATTCAGGACTTGTCATGTGGATTCACCTGTATCCCGGGGTTGATGTTCACTCCGGGACTCGAATTCAGTGCCGCTTGCTTTAAATATTGTCGCATTATCCACTTAGCTACCGATTTCAGATAGCCACTAGCTTGTGCAAGTACATCCAGCTGACGAGTCGAAAATGGGACGAAACACTTTCCAGCCACCATCCATTTTTGCTTAGAATACTTGTGACTTAATGGCAATATCGAAGCAAACCCAAACAACTAATCAATTTTAGTCCTAAAAATCAATGAGAACGTTCAAACGACCAATACAAATAAAGTCTTCTCACTATTCATACGTAAATATACCATACTGGCGGTGGGGTTTGGAAGCAAAATATACCTACTGATATATTACATCCAGTATTAATGTACCAGGATAATAATGTTAAGCATAAAAGGAAAAGAAATATTGGTCTACTTGACTTTATTCTGCATTAGTCATACACTTTTGAGAAGTTGAGGAGAACATATGAGAATTCTTGAGTCGTACTTATCCTTGATTTATGTATATGTGAACATATAATTCTTCATCAGACATGCTAGAAATTATTTAATACATCTATGGTATATGCTATTTATGTTGACGAATATAAGCAGTATGTAGCAGTAACTGGAAGTGAAATGTTTGCCAGCAAAAGATTGAATTGAAAAGAACAGGAATGGAAACAGAGAGCAAAAGGAATAATGATCGAATTGGAAGAATCATAAAGTATGTTAAGGACTGCTGAAGGAAGACGTGCAAACAATGTATTAAATGTATGGTTTTCAAATTCTCCAAAGCACTGTGTAATTTTAGTTTTCCTCACCTGCGTTTTCGTGCACTTCACATCTAACATTCCCTTTTGATCCTCTGTTAGAATAAATCGATTAACAACAAGAGAGTATAATCCTTAATAAAATGCCACTTTCTTCAGTCAAATAAACGTGGATGCAAGTTTCAACTGAAATCAGTGTCGGGTGTGAGACAATTATTTACCGAAGACAATGGAAGATTGTCGCTCAGTATCATGAATTAGTTGAAGTTAGATATTAACACCACTGGATACCATCAATCCAGTGGTCTAGAGGTTAAGCGTTCGCGTGCGAAACTGAAGGCCCTGGGTTTGAGTACCATGCTCGTGGTCGTGTATGCGCACTACTGAGGAGTCCCATGCCAGGACGAAACGGCCTTCCGGTACTTTCAGGTTTTCAATTGTGGTCCGACATTGACCGATTCATGATCTCAATCAAAACTCAATAATTTTCACAACTCTATACTGAAATTAAGTAATCGAATAGTTTTGAGGAAGCATAATTTACATTGTTTTCTATATTTTACTATTCTGAATTATTTACTGAAGGTTCCTTCTCTTTACCACAGTAATCAAATTTTATGAATATAAAAATGTACAACGAATATCGTTGGTAATAGATAACTTTCATTCAGAAAATAATGATCTAGTCTAATGTTCCCGTATTTTTGATACAATATGATTGTAAAATTCTTATTAATTACGATTGCTGTCACATAGCCAATGTCTTTTTATTTCATTCAGTGAGAGATATTTAACTCTCGACTTAAAATAGACAATTTGAAAATATTTCTTAAGAGTCATATATACAAATTAGTGTACAGATGTTTCTTCATTTAATTAACGTAATAAACTTCCTCCCTCACTCTCCATCTTTTCTCTCTCAAGTGATCAAGTTTTTATGTATCAGTATCAGCTGCTAGATATTCTGTCACAAGAGTGGGGAGTTGAGTCGGTGCACAAACATATCAGGTTTTACATTGCTTGTATCTGAATGACTGATTTTAAGTAATATAGTCTGTTTAATCAACTAAGCTGGGAATAAGGATCTATTTATAACACTAATCTTTTTTAATCGGAAAATTTTGACCATCACACTATGGTCTAGCTATCTAAAGATGTGTAGTCCTCATCGCGAGGTCTGGCGTTTCTAGGTTTTAAATCGTGTAGAGTTTTAGGTATGAACTGCATCGAAACACCTATCTAATTATCCTTGACTTTATTCAGATCTCTAGTTGGCGTCGATTTTTCATGACAACTTTCTCTAAACTATCCGAATCTCCTAAAAACATCTAAGTGAATTATATATCCAACTTTCAGAAGGCCCCCAAATGCCCTGGTATGGCTGAGAGTGAGATGGGCCCGCCCTCCCTCTCGAAATGCTCTCACACGGCCACGCGTATACAGCCTCTGCCAAAGAAGTCCTACTCATTGCCTTCTTTCACCACGAGTGTTGTTTACGAAAATGAGAGGACGAAAAGTGAATGTCTGGCGCTTTAACCGGATTCCAAACCAATGATGCACATGGGCTCTAGTATCTTGCGGGAACAAATGGCGTATGAACTAATCGTTGGTCACCGGCTATGATGGGACTGCATCTCTTCACGATGCTCCACTGCCGTGTGGATCAGACCTTTAGGTCGAAGTCTCGAGGTGTGGACCCCTAAGAAAACCACCTACTTCGGTTTGGGCACCCGGGCACTATCACAGCCCTCACACAAATCTAATGATTTATGTGGTGCATATCTACTTGGTGCCTCCTTGTACCAATCTTTATGTGTTTAAATAAATAAATAAAGAACTTTCAGAAGAGACTCTGATATTAACTTCTATGAGCCAAACATTCATCTAAAAAATCATAGCAATCAGTATAAGTTGATGATTTCTGAAATTACTGTATTTCTTCTAAACATAAACAGTTCAAATCTTAAATAAAAGCATCATATGATAACCGAAGAATCGTTCAATTCTGAAATTTTCATGATCATTCACCTTTCTTCATGTGTACCATATACCTTTTCAATGAAATAAACTTAAATTTTACTCAATCAATTCCATTTTCCTTTCTTTTCTTTTTTTTTTAAAAAAAATTCATTTATAGCAAACTGAAACTCCAATGTCTTCAATGCATCAAGTTTATTTAATTGTATTGGTTATAACTTTTACATGTAGTTGGGGTCCATTACCATTATTAATAGCATTAGAATCATTTCCAATTATCAATAGGAATTATGTTATCAAATCATCTTTAACAGTTGGTTGGACAGTTTGTTGTTTTGTTACATTTATATTTGAACCATTTATATTATGGACAAGTGTATCAGTTTTATTCAGTATATTCTCATTATGTTGTTTATTCTCTTGTGTTTATGTTTATTTTCATATTCCTGATATGAAATCAATGAACACTATCTAATATGTTGTGTTTACCTTTTCTTGGTTAATATCATACTAATAATGATCATAATAATAATAATAATAATACACATATTTAAAGTGAAAATCTTCACTGATATATATACATATGAACACTTCACTGTAGTTTTGTTCATTTATTATGTTGGTTAACCGTGACAGCAATTATTTTATTGATTGTACTGTAGTGTTGGTTACTATTATTGCTAAGCCCAAATAACTTATTCTAGCTCTTGGACAAACTAATTTATCTATTCTTCTTTGAGTCATATTTTAACTGTGCTAATTATTTACTTATTACAACCCTGCCTGTTTTTTATATGAGCACATATGTGTGTACACACATCTTATCCTATATTCATCACATGTCTGTAACTTATTATTGTTGGACTATAAAAATATTGATTACCGCTTGGTAAAAAGGGAGTTGACAAATACGCCTTCTCCACTGCGTGTCCTTTCATTTCATCCCACTCATTTCCTGTTCACATCAGTGAGTGTACAAAATATATATGTATTTAACAATCTATCCTCGTATTCGACTTATTTAATTCCATTATATTTAAGTTGATAGTTATATACGAGACTAGTTAGGATGTATATATTTCGGCAGTAATCATTCAATAACGATTATCTGTCCGATCTAACTAGAGTCAGATACTAGGTCACTGAAGTACACAAGTTTTCCTCGTATCTAAATTGATGAAACTCCTTTCTTCGAAATAGAAAATTTATCAATTATATATCTCTCTCATTGTTTCTCTTTACACATTTTACAACTAATCTCTGAATTGATATTAAATTCTTTTCATTATCTACATATAAATTTAATAGAGTATATATCATAGTACTTAGTTAAGTCACAGTAATTGTATTTTATATATTCATCATCTTGGCAGTTATTCTAGTGTAAGTTCTTTTAAATAATAAAACATGAGTAATACATAAGTAAATAATTAATTTTAAATTTTTCACTACTGTTATATCCTAGTGAAGATTAAATTACAGGTAACTTCCGAGGACTATTAATGGACTAATATTCTTATTGTATAATTATTCAGTAGTTAGAATATGTATATTTATATTCCCCTTATTATAAGCTTCATTTTGACCTATAATTTATTATTATACGATTTACTGTTCCTAAGCTATGTTCAGTTTATTGACTACTGCCTCCCACATTCATAGCCAATTTTTGGCTTTATTGTGTACAAATGTTATTTCCTATTTTATGGTGCGTTGCAGTCTGTTTGTTTGATTTATAAACACAGTATGTTTGAAATATATGATTCGCATATTGGAAGCTGGTATTGTTGTTCTGGACTCAAGTGGACGGGTTAGGCGGACATAGGACCAATAAGGACGCTAGGCTGCTCATACCGCTTGAACGTCATTGGTTTGGTACTGTGCGAAGATTGTATAAGTCGTATTTTGACTGGTGGATAAATCATGTGGTAAAAAGCTGAACGTAAAGTCTTAACACTACATTATCATTAAATAACTAAAAATAGATTATAAAAACATATGTACACTGTCACTAGTACTACTACTACAACTTAATCTTCAATTTTTAACTGCATGGTAACAATCTAAATAGGAAATGAACATCTAATTTGTAAGTTTTTTCCTAAACTAAGAAGAAAGATTGTAACACATACGGCAAAGAGGGACTGTAACTAGCCCTAATACATGAATTTCAGAATTATTCAAGAATGGTAAGCTGACATTATATGTTGGATTGATTGATTCTTGAGTCAAAGTTTATAAGTTACATATCATCTCATATGACTGGTTGTTATTAGTCCAATCTACAAGGAAGAAAGAAAATCATCTTGAAAAAAACTCACTTTGAATGCCGTTATTTCAAAATTCTTAATGTCTCTAGTCCTAAAAGTATTAAACTTGAATAATTCAAGATGGTTTCGTGACTTATCTTAGTCAGTCAGCTACAACGTAGGACCAGGCACATATGTGCATCGGTCCAGGTTGCCATACCGCATCAGCACAACAAGATGAACACCGGATTCATAGCAGTGGTTAGGTCAAAGGTAGTAGTATGTAAGAGAAAGATTGCATATAGAGATATAGTACAAGAAGAAAGAATTGGTTCGTAGAAAGAATGATATGAAGCGATTTTAATCTCTTAGTTTAACGGAAGATAGAGTGTATACACCGACGCCATTGTGATCGATTCTGAGCCATGTCACCAAGAGTCTCCAACCATTGGTTACGATAGTCACGCGGACCCCAACCAAGTAGTCTGCATCTACCAACATGGCTCAGACTAGAAGTTAGTGACCTCAAGCACTGATGCCACGTTTTGATTTGGCCGCCCCTAACTTTCTTCCAACCATTTCCAATACCGGATAGCATTGCACGTCGTGGTAATCGGTGTTCAGGCATACGTAACACGTGGCCCAACCATCTCAGTCGATGAAGATTCATAACCTCATCAACTGATTTACCATCATTCCCTAATACCCTGCGTCTAACCTCACTATTACTTACCCGGTGATCCCAGAAGACGCCAGCAATATTTCTAAGGCATCTGTGGTCAAATACTAATAGCTTACGAGTGTCTTCTACTCTTAATGGCCATGTTTCGCTGCCGTAAATTAAAACAAAACGGACTGCCGCGCACTATACTCGTCCTTTTATTGATAGACGGATATCTCGCCTTCGCCAAAGGTGATGCAAGTTGGCAAAAGCCAATCGAACTTTTCGAATACATGCTGAGATTTCGTCCGATACCAACCCATTAGGGCTGATCAGACTTCCAAGATAAGTGAAGTTGTCGACGCGTTCGACTACTTCACTCCCTATCCTTAGTTCAGGTGTTAACGCAGACCAGTCCTGAAGCAACAACTTGCATTTAGAGGGAGAGAAGCGCATTCCAAACATCCTGGCATTGTTGCTCAGTGCTACCAGAAGACTCTTCATTTTGTCAGCGTCTTCACCAAACAGGACTATGTCATCTGCGTATTCTAAGTCGATAAGTGGACCTCCTGGTAGAAGATCAATACCCGAGAACTCAGTTGACGAGAAAGTTATTTCCATCAGTAGATCTATGATGAAGTTAAACAAAAATGGGGAAAGTAGACAGCCTTGACGGACACCACTTGAGGTTGCAAAAGTAGACGACAGTTCGCCATAAGCTCTGACCCGACTAGTAGTGTTCGAGTAAAGAGCCTTCACAAGGTTTATGTACTTCTGTGGTACGCTTTTCAATGACAGACACTGCCACAGAATCTCGAGGTCTACAGAGTCAAATGCTGCTTTTAAGTCGAGAAAGACCACCATAGTCGGACGCCGATAAGTATACCTGTGTTTTAGAATCTGACGAAGGGTGAATATGTGGTCGATGCAGCCACGACCAGGTCTAAAGCCAGCTTGGTTCTCTCGTGTTTGCAGCTCACGAGTCTTAGTTAGGCGTCTGATAATTATCGAGGCTAGTATTTTAGATATTATATTAGTTAAACTAATCCCTCTGTGGTTGTCAGAGGATGATTTTGACCCTTTCTTATATATTGGGACGATAAGTGATTGTGACCAGTTAGATGGAATAACGTCTAACTCCCAGATCTTAGCTAAAATATTAGTCAACCTAATCGCTAAAATTGGACCACCATCCTTAAAGACCTCTGGAGCCAATCCATCTGGACAAACTGCCCTTCCTCGTTTCAGATTAACTATAGACTTTTGAACTTCTGCTAGAGTTGGGGGACCTACTTCAATGTTCCATTCACACTGTCTGGGAATGGAGGGTAGTTGTAGAGTAGCTGAAGGCCAACTGAACTGTTCTCTGAAATGTTCCGCCCATCGTTCTAAACGCCTGGACTGTGAGCAGATGAGAGTATCGTCTTTTTCCGAAATAATCTCACTTACACTTGACTTATTAATTCCAGTTTCTTTTATTAGTCTGTAAAGCTGTCTTGTGTTCCCTATAGTCGCCGCCTTTTCCATCTCTTTTGCTTTCGTTGCCCACCACTGCTCACGGTCGTTTCTTAGACTTTTTCTTAGCCTAGATCCGATTTGTTGTCGCTCTTCATCATGTTCGGAACCTGATGGGACGAGTTTGCGAGAATCCATCAGTGTGATAGACTTTGAAGAAATCCACTGGTTCTTTGAAACTCTGTGGTTTAGGTCGCTAACAGATGTCACTGCTGTTTCCACAGCTGCCTGTATTTCATTCCAAGCAACATCTGGGTCAGCCTCGTCTTCAGAACTACCTAATCGTGACCTCAGTTGTTCCTGGAACCTACTTTTGGTTTCCTCGCTACTCAGTTCGGTTCTAATGGGTCTTTTCACTGTGGCTTTTTCGCGTCCAGTGAGGCGCAAGCAGATGCGTGCCCGTATTAGGGCGTGGTCGGAGTCCAAGCAGGTACTCCAGAATGAGCGACAATCTTCTACCGACCCTCTCCAACGATGACTGATGGCAATATGGTCTATTTGAGTCCATCGTTGGTTTGGTGTAGGGGGTCGCCATGTTAGACGATGTCTCTCCTTATGCTTAAAATTTGTGTTTGCTAAAAATAAGCGATTGTCTGAGCACAGTTGCAGCAGACGGTCACCATTATCTGTTCGCTGTGCCGGAATGCTAAATTATCCACCTAAATGCCTTTCTGTTTGGTTTAAGCTACCTATCGGAGCATTAAAGTCACCCCCTACGAGTACTATGTCTGAGCATTTAGCTTTCTGAAGAAGTTCGGACAGCTTTCTGTAAAATTCATCTTTCACATCATCTGAGCTGCAGTCAGTAGGAGCGTAGGCAGAAACGACGAAAAGGCAACGACGTATGTCCCTATCCTTCCGAGTTCTTACGGAGCCGTTTGACCGAACAGCACATAGACGACTGTTGACGGGGATCCATTCTAGCAGTGCTTGTTCCGCCCTCATGCTTAGTGCTATGGAAAGAGACTCTAGGGTTTTAGCCAAGGAAGCCTGCTGACCGATTTGACATAGAGTGCGTACGTTGAAAGCTCCAATGTGTAGTTTGGAGCGAGGTTTCAGTAGACCTGGGACAGAGTTTTGAGCACTAGAATCATTGGCTATGGTGACACTTGAGGAGGAAGCCGAAGGAGGAAGTTTACGGTTGAAAGTCGATGTAGGAGGAATAATAGGAATTGAAGAGGAAGGTTGATTATGAATACAGTGGTCTTGGGTGCTGTTAGAGGTATGAGGGTGGTTATCACTTCCCGGTTGCGCACACCGTGGAAGGATTCTCCTTCAAGTACCTGAAAAATAAATTGGATTAGAGGCGGTCTCAGTGACCTGAGAGCGTGACCGCAGTGCCCAAGGGACAACTGCTAGCGGCCGGTCGCGCACGGCCTTTTCGTGGGAGGTTTTTGACGTGTTAGCTCCGTTCTTCAAAAGGCCTTACCGCCGGAGACGGAAATCCGTAATGTAAGGTGAGGTGCGCATTTTTAGGGTCGACCTTTTCTAACCCCACCCCTGCTTGCGGGAAGGCAGCATCGCTGTCATGCTGGTTGTCTGAAGGAAACGCCTTACTGCTGTCACACCTCTGTACAGTCAGCAGTACGACTTCGCCTTCAGACCTTGGGTTTGTTGCTTTTAGTCTTACCGCTCTTCAACCGACCTATCTGACATGATAGGACCTTGAGGAACGGTTGTTCCAGCCAGTATAGCTCGGTTGCTTCATCACGATAGGCAAGCCCGACCACCACGTCAAGGTAGCAACAACGGTCGGGACTTATCTTAGGCCATAAATGTTTTCATCGTAAGGTCCTGTAACATAAACCAAATTTAGTTCAGTTAGCTGCTTTCTACCAGGTAAAGATGCCATTCGAAGTCTGTGATCACAAGGTGTAATGTCCCAGTGTCACCATAACATGCATCGGAAAAATACACAATTTACTGGTAATTGTTTATTCGAAAACTAATTGTTGAATTTGAGCTTACAACATAATATTTGAATTAGGTGTGATAAGCAGTATCCATCATGGTTGTTTGCCATACTAATTCTTATTCTGCGTTATGAATATATTCCTGTTGGGGTGATCCAGAAAATTTCTTGCAGAGGACAAGCAAGGATCAGGAAAAACTAGGAAGCATTTCATCCAATCAGCGTTCACTTGAAGTTTTAGCCAGAAACTTCAAGGAAGTGAAACGTCACATGTAGAGGTTCTGATTGGCTGATTACTATACTGCTACTA